ATACACTGGTACAGATAAGAGCTCTGGACACAGAGAATCCAGGACAGATAAACCCCTCAGGACCAATAATGAGAATAGCGATACCATGGTATGGGGAAGGTTGGAGGAGATGGGGGAGAAAGGAGGGAACCAATCTCAAGGATAGACATACAACACTGTCCACAGGGATGAACAACAGAAACGTGGGTGAAAGGAGGCAGCAGAGGTGTACAATATGAAAATAAAAACAATTTGTAAATGATCAAGGGTTCACAAGGATGGGAGAAAGGGGAGCTGATAGCAAGTACTCAAGTGGAAAGAAATTGTTTTGGAAATGATGATGGTAACATGTACAAATGTGCTTGATACAATTGGTGTTATAAGAGCTGTAAGAGCTCGCAATAAAATGATTTATTAAAATTATAAATAAATAAAAAAGTCTTAGAAACTGATTTAACTCAGCCACTTTTCTTCACCGTTTTAAACCTAAATAATTCAGAACAAATAGCGGATTATCTTGAACACTTCTAGATTTGAGACAAAAACTCTGTGACCTATGTCATTGTTCTGCACATGCAACTTATGTTGTTATAGTAGAATTTTACTTGAAATTCTATGAGTCTACTATAAATCTACAAATTTCCATCTGCTCTGACCCTAAGCAGGAGGGCCATTCTCCCTGCAGGCAATTGACATCATGTTCTTCGATTCAATTGAGGAAGAGGAGGAAATATTCCATATGTAAAATTCTCATTCTTGTCACCGATTTTCTGGATTTGTAAAATAAACTTGGATGTACTTTAGCTTTTACTCTATTTTCCACCTAAAAATCCAAATGAAAAAATATATTTCAATGAATGAGATAATGTTTAAAATTTCAGAGAGGACTTTCCTAGTCTTTTAAATTTTGTTAGTATAACACTATATTTCAAAGTATAGTTGGTGTATATTCTTACCTAGATCAGAACAGTGCACAACTCTTGAGTAGCATTGACATCCAAAGGGACATGTTGGAAGCATATCAAAGGGGAAAAAAGGGTTCGCGGGTGTTCTCGTTGGAAAAAGAGTGTTATCATCATCATCATCGTCATCATCATCATCTGAATCTTCCATGTCTTCCAGCATCATATTCTTTAATGTCATATAGGAAGGCCTAGAGAAGGGTTTGGCAGAGCACAAAGCCAAGAACAGTAGGAGCACATATTCCTTCATGTTATCTGAGAGGATCAATCTAGGACCAAATAGACATTAAATAGTCAGTTAAAGTTTAAAAACTATTCCTGCAACTATATACATTACTTAGAGCTAGCAAGAGTTCAATGAAATAGGTTCTTATTCATTGTTTGTATGAGAATGAATTTTAAAAATGTTTTAGAAAGCAATTCAGCAACATATATTGAAAACTTTTTAAATATTCTTATATTTCACCCAATGATTCTACTTTTTGGAATTTAGTCTCAGGAATTAATTCTAATGAACAAAAAGTTGTTTACCACAGAATTATGTATGATAAAAAATTAAAGTTAATTCTAAAAAAAAAA